TTATATATTTTCTTTATATGTTTTTACTGATTACCCAGAAATTACAACATGTGTACTTCAGTTATCTAAGTCCAAATTAATTAAAACCTTTATCCTCCTTCCAGGTAATAGAAAGATCTTGGATCAGTTTAATTCTATTTTCCCTCCTCACAACTTCCATTCTGTTGTCAGGACATGCTCTATGGCATTTTATCAATTCTAGTGTGCATGTTATTTCACATTTTGTCATCTCTGAAACTGAGATATGTCCTACACTTGATGGTCACTTGCAGTTGCTGTTGGTACCAAGTGGCTGTCCTGATACAGTCGTCTTTGCCTGCACGTGAATGAACCCAGTCATTGCTGTTCATATTACAGGTCGAGCATCCCAAACCTGAAAACATGACATCCAAAATGTTTCAAAATCCAAACATCTTTGAGTGCTGCCATGACACTCAAAGAAAATGCCCATTGGAGCATTTTGGATTTTGAATTTTGGGATCTGGGATGCTCAGCTGGTAAGTATAATGCAAATATTCCAAAATCCAAAACACTTGCAGTCCCAAGCATTTCAGATAAGGAATACTCAACCTGTCTCACTTTAATTGAGTTATGTGGTTATTGATATATGTTTAATTTATTGCCTTTTCAAACATTTTCAAAAGGATTACATTATTAGGTGGTACCACGTGCCAGGCCACGTGGTAGAGCAAACCAGGCCCTGGGAGGCCGGCAGTGGGGAAGATGCAGGCAGCTGTGCGGCGGCCATGTCAGGAAGTGCCTGGAGGAGAGCTGGGAGCTGGGAGGCAGGGCGGGGCTTGGGGAGCAGGCTTTAGGAATCTGCTCTGAGACCTGAAGGAGCATACAGAGTTGGCCAGACAGAGGGAACCGCAGATCCTAGGCTCTGAGGTGCCAGAGGTTTGGCGAGTCCAAGAGCCCAGTGGGGCTGACGTGGCTGGAGCTCAGGGCGAGAGCCTGGACTGGGTGAAGCCCCGATGGCTCTGGTGAGAAATCTGGGTTTTGTCCTCACTCATGGAAGGTTGTTTCCTCATGTGCTTTGTCACTTTGGGAAGTGAGCTCCTCTTCAGTGGGACTCTGTGAGCCTTATGTGGCCGGTGTGGTGGGTGGGTCCTTCCAAAATGGGTTTTGTGTGAGTTGCCCAAGAGCGTAGCAAACCCGTAGCTGTTTGCGTTCGTTGCTCACCCTGTGGCTCTCTGACCCAAGTCTCTGTAAAAGGGAGGCCCATGGCCTCAAATTCTAAGAGGAAAAAAAATTTGGCCAGGCATGATGGCTCACGCCTGTAATCCTAGCACTCTGGGAGGCTGAGGCTGGAGGATCGCTTGAGCTCAGGAGTTTGAGATCAGCCTGAGCAAGAGTGAGATCCGGTCTCTACTAAAAATAGAAAAAATTAGCCGGGCTTGGTGGCATGTGCCTGTAGTCACAGCTACTCGGGAGGCTGAGGCAGGAGGATCTCTTGAGCTCAGGAGTTTGAGGTTGCTGTGAGCTAGGCTGATGCCACGACACTCTAGCCCAGGGAACAGAGCAAGATTCTGTCTCAAAAAAACAAAAGTTTCTTTTCGACCCAGAGCCTAGGCAGAAATAGACACACTTCCTTGTCATTCCCTTGGCCAATGATGAGATATTTTTTCAGTGTCCCCTTGACATGGGGGTGTCAGATCCAACTCCCCACCTAGTGCAGACCCAAAGCCTTGTCGTCTCTTATCACTGGACCATTCACCAAACCCCTTGGTTATTATAATGAGGAAATACCCCGTTTCTCCCTCAACCCAGCAAAGTGCAGCCAGCCCCCACCCCGTGCGTGTACTGCCCCTGCTTTCATCCTGTGCTTCCTCGCATCCCCAGCCCCACCTCTGGTGGGTGATGCTGTCATCAGCATTTGGGGGCATTTTTGTGGAGGGAAGGTTTTCAGACAGAAAATGGAGGTTTGGATCTTACTCTCTCATGGCAGAAAGACACAGTGAGAGGCTCGCCCTCTGGGGAGGGACACGGCCAGGTGAACATCAAAGCTCCCTCCGGCTGCTCTGAGGGGGCGCAGGGCAGAAGGGCAGAGCCGGCAGCAGGGACCAGCAGGCAGGCCCTGCAGACGGTAGAGCGAGAGAGGAAGGGCACCGGTTGTATAATCCATGGTGTGTCCACACAGCAGCTCTACGTAGCTGTCAAAGGGAGCAAGGCATGGCTTCGTGTACGGACATACAGACATGTGCCAGAAATAGTAGGAGGAAGAAGTGCCAAAAAGGACCTGTCCAAAAGCAAAAAGTGTACATTTTTAGATATTACGTGGTTGCCAGAGGAAGGGGACAGTCATGAAGGGCCACCAGGCTGAGGGACTGGGACTCTGTCCTGGGGCACTGGGAAGCCATGGGAGGGCTGTGAGCAGGGGAGGGCCAGCTGGCTCTGGGACCTGGTGGGGACAGACTGGAGGCCGGGAGGCCAGGAAAGAGGCTGTGGAGAGGGTCCAAGCCAAGAGAGCAGGGATTCAAATGCCATTTCATGGCGGTGGGGTGGGGGTGCTGGTCATAGAACCAGCAGGTGAAGGGAGAGCCCGGTCTTCTGGGCCCTGGCCCAGGGCTCCTTCCAGGAGCCAGTGAGGGGTTGAGCTGAGCGTTCACCACAAGGCTCCTTGCCTTAGAATGAAGATGCTTAAATGGTGGAAGGAAAATCAGATTCTCAAGACCAAGGAGGCCTTGATCCTCAAGAAACCAGAGCTGCTGGAGGAGCCAGGCACTCCCAAGGAGTCTATAGCTGCAGCCCCACCGGCTGGACCGGGAGGTAAATCCCAGGCCCAGTAGTCAAAACGCACGGCGGCAGGCTGGGCCCACCCGCCACCTGGTGGAACCCCAGGAGGCCACTCATTAAGAGCAGAGATTCCCAGGCCCCCACCCCATGCACCCTGGACAGCGAACCCTGAGCCCCCAGTGACATCCCAGATGGTCCCTCCGAGGCTGCCCTGGCATGGAGCAGCAGGGCTGGGCCTTAATTGGGGTCCCTCGGGGATTGCTCACTCTTCAAGACCCGGTCCCTTAGGAGCAGCCCCACGTGCGCTGCCGGTGGGAGGGCCCTGCGGGGTCTGGGGAGGGCCGAGCACACGCTGGAAGTCCAAGCTCAATGTGCAGGCTGGGTTCATTGCTTCTGAGGCCTCTCTCCTCCGCCTGCGGATGGCGTCTTCTCTTCCCGTGGTCTTCCCTCTGTGCGTGTCTGTGTCCTAATCTCTTCTTATAAGAGCACCAGCCATAGCGATCGTGTAACCTTAATTCCCTCTGTAAAGACCCCATCTCCATAGTCATGTTCTGAGGTACCAGGGGTTAGGACATCAAATTTTGGGGGTCGGGGGGACACAGTTCAACCCATAACAGAGGCTTAAAGGGGCTGGTTGACCCCTCCATATGTGGGGTACCCAGAGAGGGGCAGGGGCTCGCCCGGGGCAGAGGGACAGCAGAGTCTGGTTCTCCGCAGTCTAGGGCTCCTGAGACAGAAGAGTGTAGACTCGCCAACTCCGAGATGGATCACGGCCCACTTGTGGGTCCCTGGCCCAGCTGGAGCTGCACAGGCCTGCAGGGCACCCAACGACCCCGCCTCAGACGCCAGACCTGGAGGCCTGCGGCCCGGCTCCCGCCCAGCCACTCAGTGAACATCCCCCGGGGCCTCCCGGGTGCCAGGCCTCACGTTAGCCACACAGGGAACACGCCTGACACCTGCCCCCGAGGGCGCGCCACTGCGGCAGGCAGGCCGACACGCAGGAGCGGAGACCAGACACGCCAGGATGCACCAGGGAGGCAGCACTAGGACACGTGCTGCTGCTGTTGCTGCCGCACGGGCCACCGTGAGCCCCAAGTGACCACGGACCGAGGCCAGCCTCACCCTGCCTTCTGCAGGGACAGGAAGTGAGAGCCGTAGGTGGGAAGTGGCTGAAACACTGAAGAACCCCCACGGGCACCTCTGCAGGGACATTGGGGATCACGAGGCCCCGTACTCCGCACAGTAAACACTGTGCAAACAGGGAAACTGAGGCTCACCACGCCTCAGGCCACACGGTAAAACTGCGAGCTGCTTGGGACTCCTGCATCCTAGGACCGCTGGCCCTGCAGCGGCCATCCTGGGCCTGGACACTTTCTCCCGACACTGCAGGACTCTGGTGCGAGGCTGCAAGCTCCGAAGCCCACAGCGGCCAGGCAGGGAGCGATGTGAGCGCGGCTGGCCTGGCGGGGGCCCCTCCTGAAGGGGGTGGCCAACAGCAGGGGACTCCCCCCACCCCTCCCCGCCCTGCTGGGGCATTGGCAACATGGGGCCACTATTGCCAGCTCCTCTGATTTTTTTTCTGTTTTCGGGAGAATCCAGAGATCCCAATTTCAGTGGGAAATTTCTTGATTCTAGCGTGTTAGTTAGTGTTTTTAAAAGGCAAGATGGGTCAAAGAAAAGCCATAGTCGGACCTCTCATTTGCACACCTGATCAGACCAGAAGCCTAGATATGGAGGGGACCCCTCTCCCTAAACCCCGTCCTGCCAAGGCAGGTGCGGTTGTTCAGAACACAGACACCTTGCCGAGGGCAACCAGAATCTCCAGGCGCAAGAAGAAGCTTGGGTCTGGAAGGATGAAGAGGGTTCCCAGGTAGAGAACAGTCTGGTGTTCACTCGTGTGGCTGAAAACATCCCCAGAGCCTCCATGTGCCAGGCCCCAGGCACGGGACACAGAGAGGAGTCGGACCCAGGTCTCGCCCACAAGGAGCTCCAGGTCGTCACAGCCCCATGTGGCCAGGCCGTGTCTGGGGGAGCTCCTGTGGGTGAGGGGCTGGCAGTGGGGAGGGAGGGCTGGACGCCACCTGGGGGGCCTGGTGTTGCCACCTGAGCAGGGCAGACTTCCAGGCAGGGTGATGGCAGGCCAGGTGAAGGGAGCCCCAGGATCTAAGGCCGGAGGCATGGGGGTGCTCAGAGCACTCCATCAGGGCAGGGCGGGTGGCATGTCTGGGGCCGGGGACAGATGACAGAACTGAGCCAGGCGAGGTGCCACAGGCTGGGCCTGGGCAAAGCTCCCCTGCAAACAGGCCTCAACTCTCACCCAACCCACCCCAGGGAGGGCAAGGGAGGAGCCGGTACCTGGCGGCCAATCTCCCCTCTGGGCTGAAGGACACACACACAGAGATAATGTCCCTGAGTTTGGCTTCAGAGTCCTGATGCCCCACCAATCAGAGCATCATTAAGAGAGAGCAGGTGTGGTCAGTCATGTGGGTGGAAAAACGTGGCAGCCCCGTGGGTGGGCGGTGGGGAGGGGAGTAGCTGGGAGCCCGCAGCAGCTCCACAAACAACGATGAGGTTGAAGAGTGGAATCGTCTCCCGAGATGTGGTTATGGGGCCGAAATCTTTCCCCAGAGTCAAGGGAAAGACACAAGAAGGCACTCAGGGTCAGACAGACAGACAGACAGGGCTCCAATCCCAGGCTGTGTGACTCTGGGCAAATCACTTAGCCTGTCTGAGCAGGGTCAAGAATCAAACATGAAGGGTGGTGATGAGGGTCCTGGGGAAAACCCCTGCAGAGGGCCTGGAGTTGCCTGCAGCACCCGCTCTGAGCAGACACTTACTGCTACCTGTTGTGTACGAGGTCCCCAAGGCCACCCTCAGGTTCAGTGACTCATTAGAAGGACTCACAGAGCTCAGCAAAGCTGTCGTCCTCACAGTCATGTTTTATCGCAGCAAAAGGACCCAGACTAATATCTGCAAAGGGAAAGGATGCACAGGGCAGAGTCCAAGAGAGGCTAGGTGCAAATCTCCAGCTGTCCTGTCCCGGTGGCAGCTGATCCCGGAACTGCCTCTCCACGTCGGGTGCTGTTACAGGCAGCTGAAAGCATCGGAACTGATACTGCCCCACACAGAGCACTTTGCGGGCAGGGCAGGGCAGGTGGAGGTGGATCCGTACGGTTCAGCGTGGGGACAAGGAGAGGGCACTGCTGTGGGCGATGGCAGGAGCACACAGGTGCAGCCCCCGCTCCCCACGCGGGACACGCCAGGCCAGGGCACTGCCCTCGAACTCGCAAGGTCACCCTCCAGGCCCAGGTCCCCTTGTCTTCCTGACGCTCCTTCTCCCCATGGCACACATGCAAACATACAAACGTGTCCCTGGGGAATGAACGACGGGGGCGTCAGCACAGAGCCGTCCCCGCGTAGGTGTCAGCCCTGGGGGGTCTCTGAGAACTGAGTGCTTTCCAGAAGTCAGTGTTGGCTGCCGGGGGAAGAATTCCTGCTCTCTGGGGTTGCGGTTCGAGGGCTGGCCAGCCTGCGGCCGGGCAAGCCGGGCTTCTGGGTCCACTTGCCGACACCCCACGCATCCCCCGCGGAGAGGTGGGGAAGTGACTGACGTGCTGAGAACTTCGGCCCTGACCAGAGGGTTCTACTCGTACCTTACCCGGCCGGGGCTTTGCTGCCTTGAGAAACTCCAGACGCGACTGGATTCCGTCTGCGAGCGAGACCTGCTGGCCCTACAAAGACACAGCCACACTCTGCCCTCTGTCCTCCTCCACCGCCGTGTGGGGGCCACCTTCTCTAGCTTTGGGGGGATTGGGCGACTGCAGGCGTCTCTCACCTCTCTCTGCACCCTCCGCACACCCCCGACCATCCTGCGTGTTGCTCCCTTGTCCAGACCCCGCCCTGGCTTCCCGCTGTGCTCGGAGCGGCGTCCAGAGCACGTGTCCGTGCACGCGCTGACTCACACGCCGCCGTGCCCACTTCTGCTCACGCAAGGCCGTCCCTGTGCCTGCAGCTCCCTCCCAGCCGCTCCGCCCGGAGGGCTCCTCCTTCTCCTTCGGGTCTCGGCCTCGACGTCACTCCTTAAGAGCAGCCTCTTCCAGACCAGTGGCTGGCACGGGGCAAAGGCGGGGAGGAGTTGCCTACAGACAGGCAGGAGGGGATTTTGGGGGGAACATGAACTGTTTTGCACCTTTCTGTGATGGCCACCCCAGTACGTGTCAGTACCCAGAACTGTACACTAACGAGGGGATATTTTTACCATAAGTTATACCCCAAGCCCGATTTAGAAATATAAGTAGTGCAGAAAAAAATGGCCTTCTCAGACCCTATGGTCAAAAAGAGCTGCTCTACTCTCTGGCTAACATTTTTTTTTTCCTCTGTGAGCATTTGCGGTCCGTGTATTTGTCAGGGACGGTTGTCTCTCTGGCACCGTCAGCCCCAGCCCAGAGGCCAGCTCACAGGGCTGGGGGTTTTACAGACTCATCATCACCTTCCTGTCTACTGTTGGAATCAGAACCAAATAAGAAATAAGGAGTTAGATACAAATCCGGATATTGTCTCTGCTGCCGGGAGCTCTCTTGCGGCTGGCAGCCGGCACCTGCAGCTTCCCAACGCCTCGAGGTAGTCAAAGTCTTCCGCCGCCTGGAAGACGGGAGCTTGCACACGTCCCAACACAGGCGGCT